TTCCAATATTTAATGATATATTTGAAACTGAATCTTTGGTGTTTTAGATAGTACAGTAAAATAAAAGAGTTTTTTTCCTTGAAACCGTTCATTTTGTTTTGGAATCATTGAATTTTGTTGATTTTTCATCAAAATTTATCGTGAAAGATCGGGCAACGCATTATCTTGATCGTGAAAGACAAGGCGTGACCAGACGGACGAAGGACGTTTGCGCCTTTTCGCCTGTTTCGCTAAAGGATATTTGCGTTTCAAACACTATGGACATTTGCGCGTTAAACTTTGATACACCTGTACAAAATTGACAAGACATTTGCGCTTTTTACCTATACTAGTTTACCTGTAATCTTTAGAAAATTTTCAAAGTCATGGAAAGATGTTCACATTTTCTTTGAAAGTTCTTGAAATTTTTTTTGGGGGTAAACCAGACATATTATAAAAAATATAGTATACGTTTCTGGGTAAACGATAGAGAAAAAGAAACTTTTATGGATAAAACATTTAAATTTTGACCGAAATTCTTCAATAAGCTTTCTAATTACTGGATTCAAAATTGGAAATTATATTCCTCTTGTGTCCATTCTGTTGTATGAATAGTCCGAGAAACTATACCATCATAGTTTACCTAATAAAATTGAGAATGGAAATGGGGAATGTGTCAAAGAGACAACAACCCGACAAAAGAGCAGAAAACAACCCAAGGCCACCAATGGGTCTTCTATACAGCTAGCAAATCCCGCACCCGGAGGCGGCAATACGCACGGTAAAACTCAGTATAAAAGAAGTCAGAGTCTGATGTCAGAATAGGTAACAAAAGAAACTAAGCAAAATGACAATGATATATAAATTAACAAAGGGCTACTAGCAGTTACTGACATGCCAACTCCAGACCTCAATTAAACTGATTGAAAGATTATGTCTTCATCATATGAAAATCAAGCACAATCCCCTCCCGTTAGGGGTTTAGTATCATACCATCATTAAATATGTGAGAAGAACATAACCCTTATCATGCCAACAACTGATTTTAGAATAAATGTGTTTATTTCCGATCGGATGCAAAGACCCTATGAGTGAATCAGTATTAAAACCAAAATATTACATCTTTAATGACCTGATATGAGTATCGTAACTATACCCCTTCTGAATAAGTCTGTTTAAAGGTTTGGTTAGCTATTGAGGTGAATAACGACATTTTTGTGCTTTGTATAGAATATTACCATAAAAGATTGAATGTGAAATACCTGAACGTATAAGATGTCTGCGAATTGATTTATATTTACGAATGATGTCCTTATACCGATGATAAAATTTAGTAAATGTTTTGACTAGTTTGTGATATCGAAAACCCTGGTGTAATAATTTTTCAGTAATACAGAGATATCTATCTTTCGTTAAAATCAAATACGTTGTTACATACACGAGCGAATAGAACAAGCTCAGATATATAAACACCATAAGATGGTGACAAGGGAACGTCACCATCTAAAAATGGATTATTAACAATAGGAAATGAAAAATCATCTCTTTTATCATAAATTTTGGTATTAAGCTTCCCGTTAAAGATATAGACATCAAGACCCAGGAAAGGGCAGTGTTCACTGTTAGTATTATCTTTATTTAAAGTCAGTTCAGCAGAATAAATCTCTTTAGTGTACATACTGAAGTCGTCATTATTCAGAGCCAATATATCATCCAAATATCTAAAAGTGTTATTAAATTTTTGTATCAGATGTTGTTTCGGTGGGTCTTTGCTAATTTTAGTCATAAATTGTAACTCATAACAATACAGAAACAGGTCCATACAGGTGCACAGTTAATCCCCATTGGAATTCCGATAACTTGACGATAAACGGAATTTCCACAGCAAACAAAAATGTTATCTAGTAAAAATTCAAGGGCAGTTATAGTATCAAAGCAGGTCCAATTGACATAGTTCTAAATTTGTTTGTTGTTACTAAAGAATGACCTAAAAGAGTTTAAACATATATATTCGCATTCTAACTTTTTAAATGCCACTTAAATTATGTGTGTGAATTTTTTCTTAATAAGATTATGAGGCAAAGTGGTATATAGGGTAGAAAAATCAAAACTTTGAACAGATTCGAAATCGCCAATATAAGCATGCAATTTATCAAGTACTCCCAACGAATTTTTGAAACTCCAAAAGTAACTACATGTATTACACTATTTTCAAAGGCCTTATTTGAACAATTTATTATTAGGTTTTTGATTGTACCAAGTGTACTAATAAGTAGAATAGACAGTTTAGTATTGGAACAATGGCTTGAAGACGAAATAAATCTATATTTGTAAGGTGTTTTGTGCAGCTTCGGAAGCTAGTACATAGTTGGAACTTTCATTGTATTTGGTTCTGCGTGTAAAGAGGTAGCTAAGCTTGTTTCAATTTGTGAAGAGCGAACTGAATTTTATTTTTAAACCACCTGCTGTACCTGTTGACTTTTAGAAAGAGTCATGGTTGTTATAAGGAATTTACTCCAATCCGCCCTCTTTAAGGAATTTACTCTCATCCTCTATGGGGGTTGTCGTTTTCATCTGACACAAGCATGATGGGAAAGGTTGATGCTTTTAGCTGTATTAAAAAGTTAATGTGCAAATGTCCATTTTAAAAACGCAATTGTCCTTCCAAAAAGCGCAAACGTCTGGCGCCGGACCGGACTTAATAATCAGATAAACAATATTTGTTTACCAAAAGATATACTTGCAACTAGTTGAAGCGTGTAATTATTTTAATAAGAACGAACATTAATGCTTTCATTTTTTTTTTACTTTTTTTTTATTTCAACACTTTTCCTTAAAAGTTATCAAAATAATTAATAACGTGCCTATAGATACGTATAATAACAAAATAAAAGGACCTTCAGGAGCGTAAATTGTCGAAAAGTAAAAGTATAATATATGTTTCTATAATGTTTAATGCATCCGCCCTGGAAATATATTTCTTGTATACCCATTTTTTTATATTTTTTTTTTGTAAGGGTTGTTACTTTCAGTTGTATGTATGTATGTCGTTCGTGCGTACATTGTATGACAATATTGGCTAATTTATTGTTTATTTCGTGGCTGCGCTGACATAAACTGAAAAGGTACCAAGATAACATTATTTTTACTTGATTGTTTGATCAGTCTGTTCACAATAGCTATACATCATTGTACCCAACTTAGTTTGGAAATTACCAATCAACGTACCTCGATTGTGCATGATGCCCAGCTTGAACTGTAATTTAGTCGATTAAGTTCTATTCTCAATCTTAAATTTGTATAAGAAATCAAAACTTATGAAGAACGGATATATAGACTGATATTGCTATAAGGCACCTAGTCGGTGTGGTATTATAAGATAAACAGATCCAATGGCATTGAACAATTATAGAACTATTCACCAACAAAAGAGAACCGGAATGAGTCATGCAAACCCAGTATTTCCTACACAAATTAAAAATATAAATCAAACTGTAATTAAATAATGATTTGAACGTTTTCGTAGCATCAGATCTTTCACGATCTCCAAAAAGCGGTACGCGATCTTTTATGATCCGAAAAATCTTTGTTTTGTAAATATTTCATTTTTTTTGCAAAATTTCTGATTATGCTAACACAAAGTAACTTAAAGAACCATTAGAATCATTAAAATTGAATGACATTTTACATAGAAAAGGTTTTTAGTCATTCGAATTATGAAAAACATCTTGTTTGTTTACATATTTAATGTCATTGAAATGTTGAGGAGCAATCTGCCTTTTGTAGATTTGTAAAAACGCTGTACTTTTAAACTTTGAATTTTCTCAGATACTGATCATAATGTTGAAGTCTTTTTGACAGACAGTTTTATTTTTTGGTAAATTTTTCCGAATAATTAATCAAATCAGATAGGTAATTGACCTTGCATATTTTCGATAAGATTTCCTTCACGAAAGCCAGAGCTTTCACGATCCAATCGCAATACTTGACCACCGTTAGGTATTCTTTCACGATCATTTTTCTCGATATACCGAATGACAGCCGTGTATATTGAACAGATTTATAATAGTGGTTTTGGGAAAGGTTGTCATGAAAATTTGACACTTGGTCTTACACACTTATATCATTTACATTGGGATAATTATAAACTCTTAAAAGCAAATTACTAGATACTAAAATTTGTTCATTTTCTTTTGATTATATTTGTTGGTGCTTTGTGCTTTGTGCTTGTTGCTTTTTGTATTGTTTTGTTTGTTTTGGTTATATTTGAGGGACATTTTGTTTGTATTTGTGTTTTTATCATTCTGTCTTTGGTATTGTGTTTTTGTTTTGTTTTGGAGAGGGTTTAATTGACTTGTTTTGTTCATTTTATGTCTGTTTTAGCTATTGATCTTAAATATGCGTGACTTCGATATTTTGAAATCTCGTCAATCCACTTTTTGCTTGTTTGTTGGTTGACTTTTTTTGTAATTTTTTTTTTCTTGTTTGGTTTTACCAGAGCATGAGTTTTCTAGTTTGTATTTGCACGTTTTCGTTTTTCTTTGCCTTGTTTTATGGCCGGGAAGAGATGTGTTTTTCAATTGCATTTTGTTTGTTAATTACACGGTTTTGCCTCCTTTAGTATGTTTAAAAGAGTTTGTTTGTTTGTTCGTTTTTTTCTGTTATTGTTTTGTTAACGGTTTAGTTTTATGGGGTCCATCTGTACAGCACGTCCGATTGTCGTTTCGCGTGCATGATCGGAATTTTGGGATCCACAAAAACAGATAACCCACTAAAACACAGACATAACAGGTCGCATGTGCAATTTCCATGATTGGTAAATATTAAAGAATTTCTATTTCCATTTCTATTTCTATATGAGCAATACACATATTCAGATCGTTCGTTTCAATGTATATAAATTAAAGAAATGGATTTGCCACTAAACGTTTCGCAAACAACAACCAATGAAGACTTTCCGGAATTTGGTATTGCGTTCGGGACCTATTGGTTTATTTTAACAAACTCATTGACAGGACTGGTTCGCTGTTCAGGTGGGTGACAATAAAGAAACCAGAAACCCGCTGCGACGCCAAAACAGACCGAACAAAATCATTGTTTATTTCATTTTAACAAGCTTGTTATGCCTAAAAGACCTAATCCATTTGGAGATGCCTCTCCACTCCAAATGAAGACCCATGTTGGGACGAAGGAAATAAATTTTTTGGGCATGGACGGAGACAAGAATATGAAAACTGTTTATGGTAAATAATTTATCCTGGAATATTATTCATCGCCATCGGGCTTGAGATTATATATTTGTAGCAAAATCATTCCTGTTTTTGTTTTTTGCTTTGTATTTCATATAAATCAATACATTTTAAATGTTATCGTAAGCTTGTGTCATCCGATATTCATAAAACATGTTATTGTTAAATTTTCCCATTAGCATGAATGATCTCAGAAGGGGTTACCACAGAACACCACAGAATACCTCAGAACACCCAAAAAAATACCACAGAACCTCGAAATATTAAAATTTCACACATTAATTTACTATTGTTGTCAGTGTTCCAGCTAGGATTTCAAAAGGGCAGGGTGCCAATCCAGAAAAAGGGCATTTAACACGTGATATGACAACAATAATAAAATAATTATTGTTACATTGGAGACTAATTGCCGGAATGCAGGGCTGGGTTAGGATCCGATCAATTACGAATGTAACAATAATATTTGTGTCTATGGTAACATTGTGTTATTGTTACATTAGTGCACTTAAATGTAAGCTACATTTATTATACTTAAACCTTCTATAGTTGTGTTGCTTAATTTTTTTTCGCCACTATGAACGAAATTACGATCACAAAATAATTGGACTGAAAATGAAAAAAAAACTGTTTCCATCAGTTTCCACCTGTCGGCAAATGTTAACCGTGTGATCAATTGCCTTACAAATGTATTTTGAAGAGTAATTTTTTCTCCAGCTATGTTGTTGAATATTGAAATCGGAGTTGAACATAAAATGGAAGGCAATGAACGCATATTAAATTACAACATGAAACAATCTCACATGCTTCAAACAAAAAATATTGGACGAAAATATAAAAATCGCAAGAGTAAAAAACTTATTTTTCACTTCGGAAGTATTGCAGTCAATGAAAGTTTCTTTAACTTAAAAAGGGATATTGCAGAATTGAATTGTGCAATATGCATTTACAGACGTGCCCTTGCCACATCATTCGTTTGTGATGGCTGCACTGAGTGGTTTCACCGCTGAAATGCGTCGGACTAAAATATGCCGCTCCCAAAACAACATACTGGATTTGTAGAAACTGTCATTGTAAATACAAAATTTATAAATTGTATTTATTTATATTGTAATATTCAAATAAAAATCTTGAAGTTTTATTTTAATATATATTTACAGTCCCAGCGTACATTGAATTGCACTAATGTAACAATAACGCAATGTAACCGTAGACACAAATATTATTGTTACATTCGTAATTAATCTGAACCTTACCCAACCCTGCATTCCAGCTATTAGTCTCCAATGTAACAATAATTATTTTATTATTGTTACATTTCCATGATTTCCATGTAACCGTAGCCAGTGCCTAATATAAAAAGGGCATGTTTTAATAAAGATTATTATCAAACATTGTTTGTTCATTGAATCACTGGTTATATATATACAAGAACAACATCATTAGCCCAGAGAAAAACTATCTTTCTACTTTTTAGGCTGAAAACTTGTCAAGCAGCTTGTCACACAAGTTTTAAATCATTGCCTGGCACAGTTAAGCTTTATATGCAGTATTTTTTTGAAAAATGTCCTGCTTCATTCTGTTTCTATGGTCTGACACACTTTACAAGTTTCACCTTTCTACCTTTTCTGTGCTTAATGGCAATACAGCACAAAACAGCTGTAAATGCACAATGTTAGGATATAGTGAACAGTGAAAATTTGGATTGAAAATAAAAAATACAGAAAAAGATGACCAAGGCACCCTACCAACCCTGCTACTAAGACCCTCTTTAACTTTTCCCATAACTCAAAACACCTAATTATATAAATTCTAAAGCCAGATGTATGAAGACATATTTTATAATATCTTAGTAGGTTACTCAATTCTAGGAAAAAATAAGATTGAGTTATCTTTCTTTATTTGGGTGTGCTCTTTCTTTGGAGGATAATAAAGAGTACGTAGAAGATGTAAATACGATCAACAATATGGCAGCCGATTTTGTTATTTTCGTATAAAAAATGAAGGCAGTCAATGAAAAAATACGTCTTAATTTGCTATTTATTTCACGGAAAACAATAAGAGCAATGTTTTTAACGAGTTGATTATGGTTTTCAACTTTCTGTCAATTACGTTTTCTCCATGAAACTACGGTAAACATTGCTAATTGTGCCCAAGTTGTATGAACATTTCTTCAAGTTCAAAGACAAATGCCGACTGACCGATTCTATTTGAATGAATTAATGTTGATGATCATTAAATGACCCATCCGATAAACGGATTACCTATAACAACAGATTATGACACCTGTTGTAACCGTTGATTAGCTTGGGGTCGTAAACAAAGTCATATACTTGTCGCCAGGTAAATTTTCGTAATTGGCTAATCATATCAATACAAACAAAATAATATACCAATCGATCTTCAAAAAAGGCAGGGCGCCCTGCAAACTGTTAAAAAGGGCACAGGGCGGCACTCGGGAAAGGGTGGGCGGACGGCCCTGTGAAAACGACCTAGCTGGAACACTGGTTGTTCATGCTAATTCTTTCTATAATTTGACTTTCATTATTCAAATAAATTTAATTCTTCCATCCAGGGTTGATTCACTATCGCTACACCCCCAATTGACTCTTAGATATGGCACAAAATGTTCACCTGAATATATAGGTATCTTGTTTTGTTACACTCATTGAAGCAATGGTTACATTGGTTACACACATGCACTTTTAATTACTGATATTTAATACTTGCTCCACTATTGAACATATCTGCTGCAAACTGTACAAACGGTTACATATTGGAAAGGCAGATGACATTGGTTACATATACATTTTGTGCCTCATATATGATTGACTCTGACTTTAATTGGATCCATACCAAAAGTACCTATTTAAACCTGATGAGATTGTCGATAACTATCATCTAGAAAACCATAGTATTCAAAAAGAGATATGCAATTGTTGTGAGGTCAGTTATGTTTTAACTAACTTATAAAATATTGTAGGTGTGTCTTTTTAATTGTCGAAAGTTCAAGTTCGATGATTGTTTTTGAGAGTTTTCCTGTTTTGTGTGTTTATCTTCCCCAAATAATGTATAGTATATAGTATGATAGATTAAATGCATCTGTGGTCAAATTCTAAATTAATAATAAGAAACAATAAATTAAGTGGAAAAATTTAATTTGATGATATCAATAACAAAACAAATCTGACAGCAAATACATTGTAGATAATAGATTAACTTATTGTCTTTTTCCTGCTCTTTCATTTCTTGGTCTTTTTATCTGCATTGGTTTCCTGGCTATTGCCTTTGCTTTGTTAACAACAGAATACAATCCATCAGATGAAGTTAAGTCATGTTTTAGCTTTTTACTGTCCAGAAAGAAGTTCTTAAAAAGCTTCTTTTTTCCTTCATCTGATTTTGTTTTCCAAATAGAATCAGCAATCATATATTGTTTGTAGGAATTTACTGGCAGTGATCTCCCCAGGCCGTTTTAGCGTCGCGGCACCGCGATGCTATATTTTTTATCCGTGACGCTATAATTATTTTGAGGATGCTATTTTTCTTGTCTCTATACATTGCTGCAAAATCGATGTCTTAATTTTTAAACTTTCATTTAATTACCGCTTGTGATCATAAAAATTATATCACCTTTAATTGTAATCCTTTCAAGTCAGACAATAGAGGCAATTAAGAGTGATTAAATAGGTGTTAATTGTCTTTTGGGTGATAACTGTTTGTATACGAAAACCCCAAGCTGACATTATGACAAGATTAATAACACGCGGTCCAATTGAAAATTTTGACATCAAGAAAATGGAATCAGAAAATCATAAACAATACGAAATCTACGTTATCATCATGGCAGAACTGTCTCCTCTACATTTGTAAAACTTCACGGGGTACCTCGATGTTGACAAAATGGTTGACCAAACCAAGTTGTAATTTTTTCCATGTCGATGAATCAGCAATTTTTATACGACCGCAAAAAAATTTTGAGGTCGTATATTGGTATGACGTTGGCGTCGTCGTCGATGTCGTCGTTGTCCGGCGTCGTCGTCCGAATACACAATGGTTTTCGCACTCTAACTTTAGTTTAAGTGAATGGATCTCTATGAAATTTTACCATAAGGTTCAATACCACAATAGGAAGGTGGGGATTGATTTTGGGGGTTATGGTACCAACAGTTAAGGAATTAGGGGCCAAAAAGGGGCCGAAAATAAGCATTTTTGTAACTTCCAGACATAACTTGTGTGTTAGCATATGGATCTCTTTGACATTGTACCACAAGATTCCATATCACAAAGGGTCAATGCTGGGATTGATTTTGGGGTTAATTGCCTCAAAATTTTAGGAATAAGGGGCCAAAAGGGGGCAAAAAACAAGCATTTTTCTAGTTTCATGACAATAACTTGTGTGTAAGTGGATGGATCTTTCTGAAATTTTACTACAAGGTTCCATTTCACAAAGGGAAAGCTGGAATTGAGTGTTGTGGTAATTGCCCAAAACGTTTAGTAATAAGGGGCCTAAAAAGGGGTTTAAAATAAGCATTTTTTAGTTTCTAGACAATAACTTGTGTTCAAGTGTATGGATCTCTCTAAAATTGTATTACAAGGTACCATACCACAAAGGCAAGGCTGTTATTGAGCTTGGTTTGGGGGGAAAGGGGGGTGGGGGGTGATGAATCATAAGGGGGGCGGGGGTCAAAAAAGAGGTAATTTTTTTGTTTTCTTTTTTTTTTGTTTAAAATTTACATTTTAAGTTAGTTATTTTTTATCACGAAGAGAAAGTAGAAATTGAGTTTTGGGGTTAATTGCTCAAACATTTATGAATAAGGGGCCAAATATTGGTTGAAAATAAGGATTTTTTTAGTTTGCAACAAAAACTTGTGTTCAAGTGTATGGATCTCTGTGAAATTGTATTGCAATGTACCATACCACAAATTGAAGGTTGTGATTGAGGTGGGGGATGATGAATCAAAAGGGGATTGAAAAAATGTGTGGGGGGTAGGATTTTT